CCAAAGGCTCTACTCCCACAGCTTGACTCCATTCTAGTCATCATGTCGACTCGACTTTGAAAAAGCCGCTCATCAGTCACATTTCGAGTGCCTGCCAACCAAAGGGGCCTTTCCTCCAGTACTGTCTCTGACAATGTTCTGCTTCCAGTTACTAGGCCTTCAGTATCCGGAAATGTTTCCATGCAATGCATAAGGTTTCCAGTGGCTAATTCCACTGTAGCGGGCAGGTAATTCCTTCTTTAGAGTCTGTGCTTAGTCTGGAAGCTCTGCTGAAACCTATCCTCTTTGGTGACCCTGCTGGCATTTGAAAATCCCAGTGACGTAATTTCCAGCATCACAGCAACACACAAGCCACCACCATGTGACACATTGACAGACAAGTGGTGGTGTTCCTTCACTAGTTCTGCTTTAATTATACAGCTTGCTAATCTTTCTTCATAGCTGCTATGGCCCCGGGCTTACATGTGAAACACCCTTTCCTTGGTGCTGGGCTCTGTCTCCTGCTTTCCCTCCACCCTGGTACCTTGCCTTTGTCTCCTCGGTGCTGGTGTCCCCCAGGGTTTGTCCTCTACACTCTGCCTTCAAGAGCCCCCACGTCCCTTCTCTCTTGCCTTTCTCCATGGTGCCTTTCTTTCTTTCTCAAGTGCAGATGACATTCCGGGACATCCTTGCTTTTAGACTCATCTTATCGTTCTCAGGAAGACTTCTAGACGCTGAAAGGGCACACAAGGCTGAATTAGATTGGGTCCCCCTGACACAAGGATTCAGGTGCAAGTTTATTTCGGAGGTGAGTCCAGGAAGGGGGAGTGAGGGAGCAAGAGGGGAAGAGCAGGGGGATCAGGAAGCAAGTTACTGCTGGGGGCAACTGAGCACCGTCCCACTGCGATCCTTTGGGAGACTGTAGACCTACCTCAACGTTGGGCACTGAGAGTGAGGGAGCTGGGCTGGTGAGGCAGTCATCATTGAATGAGGGCTGCTTTCGAATGCCTCAGCTTTACAGTCTCCCTTCTCTATGCGCCAGCCCTCTTTTCTCCCTCTCTTTTTCTCTCTCTCACTCTTTCTTCCTTTCTTCCATCCCTCTCTCCTCTCTCCTAAGAAGTTGAAGTACTCTGCCCCTCCCTCATCCACCTCCCTTAAACAATTACCCAACTGTTCCAAGAACATTTTTTGAGTATATAATTTTTCCTCGTTGTAAAAGCTACTTTGGTCACATTCCCACCTATTTTTGTGTTTGGAACTTGACTCTATCCTGTTCCATTAATTTTTCTGTCAGCTCCTTCGCTGCTCTTACCATCTTCCCTTCTCATGGTCCCGCAGGCCATGTTTGTTCTAGGACCCTGGCCTCCTGCACAGCTGATTGGCCAATCAGATTTACTCCCCTGGATATCTGGAATTGGCCAGTCTAGCTGGAATTGGATTAGCTCTGACTTTGTTTAGCCACAGGTGCCCAGAGAAGCAGGGAAAGCCAGCATACCGAGAGACACTCAGCAGTTCACCAAGAGACAGAGAGGCCACGCAGCTTCAGACAGACCAAGAGAGCAACCTCGGCCCAGATATTTCTGTTTTGATTCTATTAATAGGTTTTCCTGAGGTTGGGCCACATTTCTTCTAATTGGGCTCAATGAGGTAATAAGGTTGTTGTTTTTTTTAATGGCATGCCCTTGATTATAAACTTCCCTTATAGCTTGGTTCTTCTAGTTATGCAACCATTTTCTTAAATTTGATAGCTAAATGTTTCTTTAAAACAACAACAAAAACAAGCCTAGCTATGTTGACCCCTCCCCAGAAGAATGTAACACAGAGAACAGCACTGAAGATATAGCCTGGGGAATGTGGCAGGAATGTCCAGACCACAAGGGAGCAAACTAAGAGGGAAAGAGAGAGAGAGAGAACATCATCATGGCCCACCAATCCCCTGGGACGACATCCCTACTCAGAGCAGCTAATGCACAGGGAGAACCATAGGGCCGGCCCCACCACAAGACATGACATCCCTTCAGTAACCCATAGTGTTACAGAGGACAACACTGGAGAGATTGTGTGGAAAGTGTGCCCAGTCTGCCCTACGCACAGTGGGGCAAAACGTGAAAGGAATACAACAGGGCAGCAAGGGGAACAAAGTAACCAAGTCCTCAAGGAATCCTGAAAATAGACTTCTGGCTTGGGAGACAGGGCTTGGTACCTCATCAGACCCAATTGGAAAACATTCATAAGGGTCAGCAGACAGACCTGGAACTATTTATCAGGTTTTTGTTTTTGTTTTTGTTTTACCTTCATGCAATGTCTATCTATATAAGATAGGCAGGTTAAACAATCCCGAAGAAAAGACAGGAGGGTTTGTGAAGGGAGAGCCAACAAACCCAGGGATAAGGGAATAACAAGAGATCTAAAAATTGATGGCGAGGAGGGCGTATAATGCCTGGTAGGATTTGGTCAAGTGCAAATTACTTGAGGAATTACTGAGAGCCCAGTGGAGGTTGAGCATGATAGTGGGATAGGGGGAAGGTGAAATGAAATAGAGGAAAGAACTAGGAGGCAAAAACTATTTATAGAGATATAGCTATAGGCATGTATATATGTAAATGTTTTAATTTATAATGAAAGGGATAGAGGCCAGTGTACATATATTTATATGTTAAGTATTAAGATAGAAGATG